GCCTCCCCTCTTTCCCTGGGCTCGTCGAAGCTCCCCCCTTTCCCAGGGACCTCCTCAGCGGGCCAGCCAAAGCGAACATAAGCAACGTCGTAATTCTTCCCTTCGATCCCTCCCCCGCCGGGGGGTGGGGGGTGGGGGGGGGTCCTGGGGGGGGGGGGGGGGGGGTCAGACGCCCCGGGGGGGGGTTCAGATACGACGCCCCCCCTGGGAGTCTCGGAGCCCAAAAGCCCCAAGACGGGCCAAGAGTGCCACGAGAGGCCCCAAAGTCAGCCCAAGAGAATCCCGAATCGCCGAACGATCTGTCCAAGACGCCTTGACGGCCCCCAGACGGCCCAAGAGGCCTGCGAAGCGCCCCTGAGAGGCCTCCAGGAGCTTCCCCACGAGAGCCCCAAGAGGCAAAAAAAAAAATCATGGATGTCCCATACGTTTTGAAAGATTTTGGCGTTCTTGCCTCTTCCGCGCGCCATGACGGCCCAAGAGGCCCCCAAGATCGCCCCGAGACGGCCCAATAGGCCCCAGAGAGGGTCCCCTAACGGCCGAAGAGGGCCCCAAGACTGCCCAAGACGCCTCCAAGACGGCCCAAGAGGCCCCCAAGACGGCTCCAAGAGAGTGCCCAGACGGGGGACCCGAACGGACATTTCGAGCTCTCAGTCCCAAGAGGCCCCCAAGAGGCACCGAAGAGGCCCCAAGAGGCACCAAGAGGCTCCCTAGCGGCCCCCAACCAGCCCCAAGATAGCCCAGGAGTTCCCCAAATTGCCCAGGATGCCTCCAAGAGTGCCTCGAGACGGCGCAAGAGGAGCCCTGGACGGCCATAGACGGCCTCAGGACAGCCACAGGCTGTCCCAAGAAAGCCTCTGGCCTCGCCTCCTCCTCTTCCTCCTCTTCCTCCTCTTCCTCCTCTTCCTCCTCTTCCTCCTCTTCCTCCTCCTCCTCCTCCTCCTCCTCCTCCTCCTCCTCCTCCTCCTCCTCCTCCCCCCCCTCTGCTCCACCTCCTCCTGCTCTCCTCTGCCTCCTTCTCCTCCTCTTGCTTCTCCTCCACATCCTTCTCCCCCTCCTCCTCTCATCCACCTCCTCCACCCTGCCCCCCCTCGTTTTCATCTTCGTCGCTCTCAGGGTCGGCGGCAACGGCCGGAAGGCCTTCGCAATACTGGCCCACTCTCCTTGCCAAGTGGCAACGGTCGGAGGAGGACCACATACTACTCCACTGTACTCACCACGTGGCAACGCCTGCGGGGCGAAACAGAATTACTCCATCCTTTTCGGCACGTGGCAACGAAGCGTGGCTGCAACAAATGCTACTCTTGTCGACTCGTCACATGGCAACGCCACGTGGCAAGGCATGAGATGTACGATCTGACTCCATTCGCCACGTGGCAACGACATGGGTAGCGAACAAGAAATATAAGTCCACTCAACTCATCACGTGGCAATGCCGCGAGGACCAAACATATACACTCCCACTGTACTCGCCACGTGGCAACGTCTGGGGGGAAAACGCATAAATTTCTTGATGTCGACCACGTGGCAACGCCTTGGAGCAAGAATAACTACACCTCCACTCCATTCGCACCAGAGAAACGACAATCTGGCGAACAACATACAACACAACTTTGCGCGCCGCGTGGCAAAACCGCACAACGAAAACGAACTACTATATTGTATTCGGCGTGGCAACGCCGCGGAGGAGAACACCAAAATGTACTCGCCACGTGGCTCCAACGGGGACGGGGACGCAGAAACGACGAGGACGAGAACGAGGACGAGGGCGAGGGCGAGGACGAGGACGAAGACGACGTCGACGACGAGCGACGACGACGACGACGACGACGACGACGACGACGCCGGCGGCGGCGACGACGACGACGACGACGACGAAGAAGACGACGACGACGACGACACGATGACGACGACAACGATGGCGGCGGCGGCGGCGAAGGCGAAGACGACGACGACCTCAACGACGACGGACGACGTCGACAACGACGATGACGCCGACGAAGACGAAAATGTCGACGACAATGACGACGACGACCACGACGACGACGACGACGACGAAGACGCCGTCCGCTCGCCCGCCCGGCCGCTCGCCCGCCCGCCTACGTAACCGCCCAGCCGCCCGCCCAGCCACCCGCCCGCGGGCCCGCCTTCTTGCCCGCCCGCCCGCCCGCGCGCCCGCCCGCCGGGTCGCCCACCCGCCCACCCGCAAGCCCGCTCCTCCGAGGCGGCCACCAAACCGAGCCAGAGCGATCAGGCACGCGGCAAGAAAACTTCTTCCCCACCACCCTCCCCCTCCTCCACTAAGCCGTCGATGTCCTTCCTCCTTCCCTTCCGCATCCCCCCCTCCCTTCCACCACTGTGCCGATGATGTTCTCGTCCCAAGGAGTGCTGAGAACCGACACCCTTCTCCTCTTCTTCCTCCTCCTCCTCCTCCTCCTCCTCCTCCTCCTCCTCTTGCTACTGGTCCTCCTCCCTCCTCCCCCTCCTCCCCTCCTCCTCCTCCTCCTCCTCCTCCTCCTCCTCCCCCTGCTCCTCCTCCTCCCCCTCCTCCTCCTCCTGCTCCCTCCTCCCTCCTCCCTCCTGCCTCCTGCCCCACCTCCCTCCTGCCTCCTACCTCCTCCTCCCTCGTCCCTCTACACGGCACGCGGTCAAGCCTGCGGGGCGGGCATTGAAACTATTCCACTTTACTCGCCACGTGGCACACGCCTGAGGGTCGAACCACATGCTACTTGATTCTCCTCGCGGCCTGGCAACGCCTGCGGCACGGAACACAACGCCGTATGGAACGAAAGACATACTGCTCCAATCTCCTCGCCACGTGAGGACGATCGGAGAGGGGAAAGCATACTACTCCACTGTACTCGCCGCGTGGCAGCGCCTGCGGGGCGAACGCCCGCGCGCCCGCCCGCCCGCCAGCGCGCGCGCGCGCGTCCGCCGCCCGCCCGCCTGCGTACCCGCCCGCGCGCGCGCCCGCCCGCCCGCCCGCGCGGCTGCGCCCGCCGGCCCGCCCGAACCTCCCACGCGTCCAAGCCGAAGCACCCCACATTTCGAATCACACACCCCTGCGGTTTCGGGTTTACCCCTTCTCGAAATTTCGGGTTCAACCCCACCGAGCTTTCGGGATTCACCCCTCCGCGGGTTTCGGGTTTACCCCGCCCTGTTTTCGGGTTTGGCGGCGATTTCTGGGTTCAAGCTTCTTCCTCTTGGATCGCCTTGATCGCTGTGGAGGCCCCCAGAATCGAATCTGCATTAGATGCATATCGGGGCCCTCTTGGGGGGGCTACGTGGAGCCCTCATGGAGTGTCTGGGACATGTTTTAATAACACATGTGTTCAACTACCGACTTTTTGTCTTATGAATGTTCATTATTTATGTTTGTTCTCTCTCTCTCTCTCTTTCTCTGTCTCTCTCCTCAAGACGACCAATGCGCTGATGATGGACATGGCCAGCTTCCCCACCGTGGGACAGAGGGGGGGCTCCACCATGCTAAACACCAGCAGCGACGGAGAAGGAATAGGGAACAAAGAAGCGAGGGAGGGAGGGAGGGAGAATGAAGCGAGATGTCTAATGCGTCCGAGCTGCGCTGGTACTAAACACGATCTGTACAAGCAAGGCCTGACACGCACGAGGAGGGAAACAACAACAACAACAACTTCACAAGCCGCACTGGCAGAGCGGACAGGGCGGGCGGAAGCCGAGGCTCGACACGGTCATACTCATCAGCCACATGGCGGGGCGAAGCGAACGATTTTGCGAAGGGGGAAAGGAAGGAGTGGGAAGGAGAGGAGGGGCAGGAGGAAAGCAGGGCACCAGGACACACTCTTGTTCTCCAGCTGGTGTACATGTGAAACCTGGGTCCCTGAGTTACAAGATGAGGCTGCAAATGAGCACGGAACGCAACGAATCCAGTGCACATCGAAGCCGGGAAAACGTTTGAAACGCCCGTTGTTCCGCCGAGGGCTCCTCGACACCGTCTTAGGAACCCTCGTGAATCGTTTGGGCGGCGGTCCGGTCGCTCTGGGGGCAGATCTGGGGCGACCCAGGAGCGGCCCTCGGACCCAACAGGTTCTGGCCTCGGACCCACCCGACATGGCCCCCATCGGGGTATATATATTATATATATATATAACATGTATATATGTTTATATATATACACGCTAAGTACATCCATATATAATATATATATATATATTAATATATATATATATATAATATATATGTATGTATAGGTGTATACACATGTATTCATATACGTACATAAATATACATACAAGCAATAAGCATCGCACGCGTCCCGCGCGCGCTCAAATTCTAGATGCGGAGTCTTCGCGCGCGGAGAGGCTGGGGCAAACATCTGCATCTTGTCAAACGTTGATCCTGCAGACGGATATTCGAGTTCTCTCTTGTCATACTTCCGACGTTGCGAACGCTCATGCTTGCCCTGGTCCTCGCGAAGCTATCGCTATTCCTGCCGGAGGTCCACGCAGACCTGCGAACACGCGCGCGCCACGGCACGCGGGCACGGCTGACCCACTTTGGCCAAGGCCAAAGAGGGCGGACCAGCGAAGGACTTTCCCAAAGTGGAGAGAAGGGAGCCCCCATTCCCCAGTAGACGCCTGCACCTGAGCCGCAGGTTTTTGTTCTTTACGCTCAGCCCTGTGAATCGACCGATGCGGGCGGCTGTCCACGATCGTGCTGCTGACAGCCCCTGCGCCCCTGCGACTGCTGGAGGCCAATCGCTGGCCAATCGCACGTGGAGGGGCGGAGGTAGAGGGAGAGACGAGGATCGCGCATTCGGGGGCTGAGAACGGGGCAGGGCGGGGGTGATGGCGAGGTCGATCGAGGGCCCGGGGGGGGGGCTAACCTGCGGAGTCCTTCCGACGGACCAGCCGCGGCAGTCTCACGCGAGCGTCGAACGCGGACCGGCAGTGCCGGGAACACCCCCCGGAGGGGGCGCCGCGCGGCCGCGGACGCAGTTCCCCGCGCACCAGCCGCACCTCCGCAGGAGCGCGGAGCGGTAGTGCGCGAGGCTCGACGCCTGCCGCGGCACCGACTTGTCTGCACGGGGTTTGCGGATCATGGCGTAGATGGGAGCATTGTCGGTGGCCCACTGGTTGTAACGCATGACGACGGTGCGCCCACCCGCATCACCACTTCTGTAGTGCCCCCGCTCTATGTAGACCACGCCGAAGCAGAAGCAGCCGTGCGCGACCGCGTGCGCGATGTTTTTTCGGGAGCGCCTCCACGCTCTCACTATCTCCGTACCCATGCCGCAGTTCGCGCTCGACTCCTCCACAGGGGAAGAAACGCATAATGCGATTAGCCGAGGCTGTGAAAATGTACATTGGTTCCTGCGGGTCATCAGGAATCAGCTCGCGCAGCCTAATCGAAATGAACGAATTGTCCATGTATTGCTCCACGTTCTCCTTGCGCAACCGGAGCTGCAAAAACTGGCCCTCGTCCAGCGCGTGTGGCTTCCCTTCGGAGCAGCAGGCGGCTGTCCGCTCGTCTGGACACGACTTGTGCGCATGCGTTTACGTGTCGCTCACACTATCGCTCTTCTTCGGTCTTCATGGGCTTGTGTTTATCCGATGCGCCATATTCGTGCACGCCATCAAAAGTCTGGGTACCATGACGCCGCACTGGACCTGCACTCGAATCAAACAACCCCGTAAAGTCAGACTCGCCGATTATCAGCTTGGAGGCAACATATGCTCTCATAGGGAGCACGTCACAAACGCCAACAAGGTCTTGGAATGTTGGATGTTCCACCGCCTTCTCGAGCTGCATTTTATAACCTAAGCGATCAGACAACCACTCTTCTGTGAACGTCTTGTGAGACTTGCCGTGCACTTGTTCGAACTGCTCAGCGAGGTCCCAGCTCACCACCGTCACTGTCTTCATTCGTATGATGCTGGGCTACGCGGTCAAAGACATATGCTTCCTGCTGTTAGAACTCTGCCTGAGCTTTTACCTCATCACCAAACAATACTTCTTCGCTCACACGCCGCAACGGTTCATGTTGCAAGCGTGCATAGGTTTCGAACAGCTGGGGTGTTGCAGCTGGGACTTTCTCTCAACTTCCCTATCAATGCAACCATTCGCTCATTTGCGCTGCGCGCTGCCATTGAACAAACAACAACGCGCAATGAAACTACGGGTCGCTAAAAATCGCGTCTTGAACCGGAATGGCTACGGTACGAAAGCAGTGCGTCTTGTTGAAACGGCTTGCGGAAAGGCATAGACTCTTCCACCTAGGTAGATCACTCCTGCCAATCCCGTGGACAAACTTACGGCCCGGCTGTTGCGAAAGAGTACGTGCGTACTTTCAAACAAAAGCGACGCGCTTCCTCCCAGTCGACCCACATGGGTCAGAACGTTCGCGCTGGCAGAGCCATCCGTGGCCGCGTCGCACGAAGCATCTTCAACATGAGGGCGGGGCCTGAGGGCGTGGCCGAACGTCGCCCGAACGTCGTTGGGGGCACGGGTGCGAGTCCGGGAAAAAAACTCGCCTGGCGAAGGACCCAGCCAGATGTAGTTGTGAAAGCCGTCGTTGTTAGCATCGCCTTCGGTGGATCTCCTTATGGGGCCACGACGCGCGTGAAGCACGTGCCGAAATCAGGCGACGCCGCAAAGCAGGCGCTTCTACTGGGACCTGGTGTAAGACCCCCCCTTTTACAGGGCCACGAAACGCGTGGGAGGGGGGGGGGGGGCAGGGGGGCGACGCCGCCATGCGCACTGCGCCACTGGGACCTTAGGTGGAGCTCCCTGTGGGGCCACGAAACGTGCGAGGTGCGTGCCAAAATGGGGCGGCGGCGCCATGCGAACTGCGCCAGTGGGACCTGATCAGCGGTTGAAGTAATTAGCTGTGCTGCTCGGGTGGTACCAACGTTCACAGCGCCGCATAATATCAAAGTGAGGATTTGGAAGTTGGGAATGTTAAAGCCTGCCGGGTCTGCTTCCAGCCTGGCCATCTCGAATCGGGGCCAGTACTGAGTCGATGCGCTCGCCGCTCGCCCCTTTCGACCCTGAAATTGATGAGAGCTGTCCCCGAGGAGAACTCTCGCTCGTCCTCAAGGTTTTCGAATGTGGTGCTCCTTGGGTACATGATGTATGTGTTTCCATTGGTGCGTGTCCCATGCGGATGACGCCAAAGTTGATGATGGTGGACGGCACCATCATGGCTAGTGTCCAAGCCAAGCCCCCTAGACCGCGCTGTAGAGCGGCGGCCTGTTGGGGTGGGGTCCTGCTTCCGCTTGTGACATTGAGCCATGCGTATACTTCGCAAACAAAGTCGCGGCAGGGTGCTTTGCCTGCGGGACCCCCGGAGGGCCCCCGAGAGCGCGTTTCATCCAGTCCTCCTCCTCGCACGTATACCACGGCAAGGCCTAGGCACATCCAGCTGGTTCCAAAGATAGCGACCTTTACATAATGCATGGGCATGTTGTAGCTGATGGTGTCTGGTTTCGTATCATTGGATACTGTCACGTCGATAGGGTTGCGACTGGGTGTCTGGTCTGACGTGGCCGTGAATTTGCGGATGGGTGTCGGTCCTTGAGTTGCGCGCAGCGTGTGGCCACGCGGCGGGGGGATGGAGGTGTAGGCCTGTGGACTACCAGTTGGTTCAAAAGTATTGAGAGAATGGTGGCTGAGAGCCGGCGCAGTCGGGTACTCCACTGTGCCGTGGTATGTTGATATGTACAATACACCTGATGTAAGAACCAGCCACACAAATATGTAGCCAGCTCCAATACCAAGTGAAAAGTAAGGCTTGCGGGCTTGACCATGAGGTAATCAGCTGAGAACGCTACTCTTAGGATAACGCCGACGACGTATCGAGGTATTCTTTTGATGACAAGCAAGTCAAGAGGTAAGAGAAGAGCCATGTGATGGAGAAGCGGATCATCGATATACGTGGCAATTATCGGATACAACGTTTCAAATATAATCGCACTGAGTTGCGCAACTGGCATATTGGACTGCGCAGTCTTGAGTCAATAGGTGGCCACATGCGAACTCGACCCCTGCCCCCCACGATTTCTAAGGGGGAGGGTGGGGTTCATTTCTTCGGGAGCTCCCGAGCGAAGTGGACTCCCCCCCCTTAGAAATCGTGGGGAGTAGGGGTAGGGTACGCATGTGGCCCCCTAGCCAAGACAGCGCCAGATATAGCGTTCGCTATACAGCTTCACCTTCAACCTCGTTTGAAGTGATGTAGCCAGAGCTCAGGCGAGAGCACCATTCCCAATCACGGATGGTGCTGGCACTCGAGCGGCAACATCACAGTTACGTGCCCAATAAGGGATGTGGCCAGCGTTGAGGCGAGAATACCGTTCCCACTCAAGGATGTGACCAGCGCGCAGTGTTGCAAGGGACGCCGGCATTTCCGAACCCAGAATTGTGGGAATGTGTGAAGCCCAACTGGCCAGACAGGTCAGTTCGTGGCATCCCCGAAACCAGAGTTGCAAGAACGTCTCCAGCGACACTGGCCGGACCACTCCCGATGTTGGCGGATGTGTCTGAGCGCTGGTCCCTTGGCCAGAACTAGCTTCTACAGAAACAGGACCCCAGTCAAGACAACTGATTGGGGCAGCGCTGCAAAAAAGGGCGTGCGAACGGAAGCGGAAGGGGGCCACGAGAGACGAATAACGGACAGGAGAGGAAGGGTGACAGAGAAGTGCAATGTGCTTTTGATGGTATGTATGACAATGGCATGCGCACGTGCTGACAAAACAACTGTATGGACAACCACTCGGACAACCCCGCATGGATCCAGACAACCCCCCAGACAATCTCCCTTGGACAATTCTCCCCAAGGTTTCTTTCAAAGATACAATATTTGTTTTTTTCGGGATTTGGGCGTTCTCTCCTTTTCGGCTTTCCGACGGTCCAAGACGGCCCCAAAGACCGCTCCAAAACGGCTCAAGAGGCCTCCAAGAGGGCCCCAAGACGGCCTAAAAGCTCCCCAAGACGGCCCAAGAGGCGCCCAGGATGGCCCAAGAGGTCTCCAAGACGGCCCCCAAAGGGCCCAAGACAGGGAGCACGAACCGAAAATCCGAGCCTTCCGCCCCAAGAGACCCCCAAGGGGCAGGCCCCAAGAAACGCCCAGGAAGCCCCAAGAGTCCCCCAGACGCCCGCAAGAGGCACCAAGATGCCACGGAGAGGCCCAAAAGAGGCCCCAAGAGGCGCCCACGCGGCCCCAAAGAGGCTTCAAAACTGCCTTCAACAGACCCCCTAGAGGCCTCCCACGAAATCCCAATTCATATCCAATAGGCTTCATACCCACAACCCAGACGCGGTGGCGGGACTTGCCGTAGGCAGCTGGACACATCAATCCATCCATCTATTCATCCATCCACCTCCTCCTCCCCAACCCCCTCCTCCTCCTCCTCTTCCTCCTCCTCGTCTTCCTCCTCCTCCTCCTCCTTTTCCTCCTCCTCCTCCTGCTGGTCCTCGCCTTCCTCCTCCTGCTCCTCCTCCTCCTCCTCCGTCTCCTCACTCCCCTCCTCCGCTTCCACCTCCGCCTCCTTGCAAAACAGCGGGGAACTCCGACTACGGCGCAACGTGAAGGCCATGGGCCGACCACCAGGCCAATGGGCGCCACGTCCACGCACCGCGACGGCAGCGCTTGTGGCCATGGCAGCCGCTGTCGAGCGCCCCCTGCCGTCACCGTGGTCGTCGCCGTCGTCGTCGTCCGTCGTCCGCCGTCCGCCGTCCGCCGTCGTCGTCGTCGTCGTCGTCGTCGTCGTCGTCGTCGTCGTCGTCGTCGTCGTCGTCGTCGTCGTCGTCGTCGTCGTCGTCGTCCGTCGCCCGTCGCCCGTCGCCCGTCGCCCGTCGTCCGTCGTCCGTCGTCGTCGTCGTCGTCGTCGTCGTCGTCGTCGTCGTCGTCGTCGTCGTCGTCGTCGTCCTCGTCGTCGTCCTCGTCGTCGTCCTCGTCGTCGTCAACGGGCCTCCTTGGGACCCGCGCCAGCAGCATCGGCCACGGCGCGGCAGCGCGCCTGCGCGAAGCCGTGCGGCTCCACAGCCTGTGGTTACCCCACCGCCCGCGCCCGAATCCGGTGGCTCAAAGATGGGGTCCTGAGGGGTGGGGCCCCAAGGACAAGAAAGGGTCCAAGGGTGGATGTGCATTGTTTTGAGACACCTTTTTTCCCGAGGTCCCCATCCCTCAAGACCCCACTTTTGAGTCACCAAATGAGTAGGGACCCACCGTCCCGGCATTCCTGTCGGCCTACCACGGTTCAGTTCAGTTCAGTTCAGTTCAGTTCAGTTCAGCCTGCGTATCAACTCCGCGGGAGCTGTCCCCTAAAGGGCAGGCGGTGCTCAAGGTTAGAAACTACATGACCAAGAACATGTCTTAGAACAGGTCAATTCTCGAATAACAGCGGCAGTGTCCGAATAACCTCGGCCGATGCATTAAAGCAACGATGCG